AGTTTATGGATTATACTATTTCTTGGCTAAATTGATCCTTCTAAGATCAGTTCATATGCCAGTATAGTCCAATTGTTCATGTGCTTCTCTTCTACCTACATGGTAGTAGTGCACAAAGAACTATAACCTTCATGGTTAATTGAGGCTTCTTTGTGGATAAAATCATTGTAAAACTTATTTAGATAGACAAAAATAGGAAATTATTTATATGCGAAACATATAAATCTAATTTATTCCATGAGAAGTTAACACATATTACTTTAAATAAAAATTGCAACTAAGAATATTAAATGTTTTATATTAGTCTTCAAGCTAATAAATTAACCATTAACCACTTAATTCAACGGGAATTAAAACTTAATGCACCACCGCTACTACTAATACTTCATGATAGTAATTTCAAAGACAAAACAAATATATAAGCACATGATTTAAGTTCTTAAAAAAATTGGCTTCATGCTTTATTCAATAGTTATGATATTCAGTCACAAGCCTTCAAGGGGTGTAACATATGCAAGCCACATATTCGTAGTTATTGCAACTGACAATATCCTGGTTTATGAAGCTGTCTAAAAATTCCATCTTAATTTCTATTTGAATAATTTTTTATGGTAAATTCAAATACTTCATGTATTGCATCGCTCTTTTGACATTCTATATTCAAGAGATGTTTCTTCGAAAATATTCATAGATAATTATTCACCATCTAGTCTCCTATGACATTTAATACAAAGCTTCAGGTCATTGTATTTGTTTATAGAGCAGCATATATATCTCATATGGTCATGTAAGCTTCAAAATTCAATTTTCATTATTTCTGACATTATGCAATCATAATAATATAGGACATCTTCTAGATTTCTCATGCAGTGAGTCCCATAAGACCTTGAGGATTTAGCTTGGTCACAAACACTCATTCTTTGAGAGTAATACTAGGAATTACTATACTTAAGATATACTCCACTTCAATGGCAGTAGAATATCTTACTAGGATTTAATAAAGGACCATGCTATATAATTTTGTCATTCAGGACAAATCCAGGATATTCCTTCTTTACGAAGGTATTCATATATTATTATTACCGGAATCATCATGTGCGTATGAGTTTACTGCATGTAAACAAGTGGCAAAGTGCAAAAAGATAGCGGATGGTTATACAAAATACTCTTAGAAGTATCATAGCATTTTTAGGATTATGGTATATGCAAATTTTCAGAATTAATACCAACCATTCATTCATCTAAAAAATTCATTATGCTAGAAAAAACAAATATGAGCCTCTCAAAGGTGATAAATCTAAGATCTACATGATTTATAGAGAGCTCATATGCCTTATTCCATATTTCTAGTGTAACCATTCAAGATTTTATTCTTGCAATTACATGGTATATAATTCATAATAAGGTTGCACTAGCATTTTTCAGAATTAAATTCAAAGTGTAGAATTTTTCAGAATTAATCTACTATTTAATTATGAAAAAATAAAGCTAGTGAACACAACAACTAAACTCCAGATTTAATGTTGTATATACGAGTTATTATACATACAGGATATAAGAACATACAGTAAATATATATAAAAAGTTGGCATAGTGTTAAAAAAACTATGTTTTCCGATGTCTTATATTCACAACAATCCCATAAATCCGCAATTTCCAGAAACGGTAGGTATTATTCTGCAAGAATATAGAGCATAAAATCTTCAAGATTTAGTGGACTATAATTTTTTTATTTATATAGTCTCATTCTTATTTTCTGAAATTCTTATAGATTTTTTCTCGGAATTTTCCACAACATATTCCTTTTTCCTGGCCCAATAATTCATCTTCGTTCAATTCCATAGGCCCGAAGGACTGCTTGGTCCGACATGGACCACCTCCCTCTTCTCAGCCCCAACAGCGGCGTGCGAGCCGCACGTCAGTGGAGGCGTGGAGGTATGGCGAGCGGGCGGCATTGGCATGCATGCGGTGCAACATCAATGAGCAATTTCCAAGCGTGTAGGCAGAGCGGCATGGCTCGCAGGCCATGAGAATTTGTGAGGGCGATGATGAGCTGGCCATAAGTACGCGACAGGCCGGACGGCTGCTGCCAGCAAACCGTGAGCTATGGTGCGGCGTTCATTGATGTGCATGCCCGGTTTAATGCAATGGAAAGAAACTCAATTTCTTACGTAATCTCAACCAATTATCAGCCTGGGTTGTAAATGATCGTGGATTATAAATTAGAACAGTATTTTTTTCTCACACTAAATCAGTCAGCAGTAATAATCCATGATCGTTTTAGCCGAAATGAACAGGCTGTATATTGGCTTCTTGCAATTGGACTATGAGTCACTATTTGCTTGCAACAATTTCCATGTGTGTTTATATCCTTCAGGGATGCGTTAATAATGTTGGCTTCATGTCTAACTTGCAAATATTGGCCCCGTTCGCTTCGCTGAAAAAATAAATCGAAGCATTGCTTTGGCTGATTTGTTACGAGAGAAAAATACTATTTCAACTAAAAAAATAAGCTGAAAAATATGGATTATAAGACAAATGAACAGGGCCATCACGGTGGCTGTGGCGTACAGGCCACAATCGTTAGCGTGAAAGACTAATGCCCTGTTCATTTGGTTGTCAAGGCATAACTGAGAGTACTGTTGACTGATTTTGATGAGAAAAAAATATTGTTCGTTAACTGAAAAAGTACGGCTTTATTCAATGGACCTATTCGCTTGGAGGAATTCTGGAGGAATTTGGATGATTTGGAAAAATACCGAAAGAATTTATGAGAGAAAAATACTATTCCAAATAAAAAAAAGAAACGAATCAAGCCAAATTTAAAGATACGCAAATGGGACCAATAGCAAATAGCCCGAGCCCCTGCGGCGTTCAGGCCGTACTGTGTGCATTTGAGGACAGCGGAGCCCCTGAGGCCTGTTTAGTTCTTCAAAAATTTTGCACAATATTTATCGCATCAAATTTTACGGCACATATATGGAGTACTAAATATAGACGAAAAAAAACTAATTGCATAGTTGGGTGAGAAATCGCGAGACGAAACTTTCGAACCTAATTAATCCATAATTAAAAACACTAATTACTAAATACAAACGAAAGTGCTACGGTATCCAAACCCAAATATTTTGCATATAAACGCGCCCCCAGTCGTGTTGCAGACAACGGGCGACATACTTCTGGCAATCTGGCATGCATGACATGATCGGAGGAAACAAGCCCTTTTTTTTCTTTTCCCTTTTTTTATTAACCCTAGATGCAAACTCTGTAATTTTTATTTACTGTATATGTATATGTATATATATACTTCGAATATATAGGTACTTCGTGTACGATTCAACATGCATAGAATATATAGACCACTCGATGGCCGGTTCAAGCAATCTGCAAGATGCGTTTCGTATACAATAAAAGAGCCAATTTGATCTACCTCACATACCACGTAGAGCAGTAGTTAGTAGATACATATCGCGTAAGTTGTTTGGCATTGTCGTAGAACTGCCTGCTTGACAGCAACGGTGCATGTCAATATAGTGCAGATCGGTAGCAGGTAGAGGTAGCAGATCCGTTTCGCTAACAACGTCGAGACGTCGACGTCGTCGAAGTAGTCGCGGCGGGATGTCGACGATACAAGCGTCGGCATCGAAGATCAGCAACGGCTCCAACGGTGATGTCGACATAGAGCTTGTCGTGCTGATAACGTGTTATAAAACATGTTGACAGCGGTTAGGACCTTTCTCTCTTCGTCCCTCATGATCAATATAGTAAAGTAGAAGAATAAATAGACACAAGATAGGAAGACTATTCTTTATTTATTTGAATATTGATAATTACACCATCGAGTTCCCACGTATATATAGCCATGCCAAGATCTAAAAGTTTGGTAAAAGTCCATATACAAATGGATTAGGATTATGATTCTTTATTTTCTTTTTCTTTTGGAATAAAGTCTGTATATTTTATAACAGTGTGCATCGCGGATGCGCGCAGTTTTTTTATTCCGCGCGATATGATGCTGCTGTCTGCGTGTCTACATGCTTACATGTCCTTAATCAGACTATCAGAGGCAGCAGGCGACTCGGATAAATCCATTTGTGGGCAAAGAACATGCATCAAGCACATATGTATGTACGGAAACAATAATTTCCTCGTTAGTAAGGTTAATAGTGTCATAAAAAGAATCTTATACTAAGCATAACTAACTTTGCCATGGGCCAATCTCTCGCTTCGTTGCGACCCTGAGCATCTTCGGGTGGCCCAAGAATCTTACCATGCAATATGTGCCTTTTCTTTTCATTTGCAAGTATATGGGAGGGTTCATCTCAAGAAATCATGCAGTACCTGCATCAGCTAGCTTTGGCACTGCCCTAGGGGAGGCCAACCTCATCACATATGAGATTGAGATGCGAACAACATCTTGGATAATTTTGGAGCGATGCATGGTCAAGTGATGTGCGCTACCCCTATCTATATATATATATATATATAAAATGCATTCTCCCTTGGTCGATCAAGCTAAGCGTGTTTGGGCACACGACAGACCCTTTGTTTGGGTAAAAAAAAAAAAGGGTACAGCTGGTTTTTTCATCCGGCCGGTTGGACACGGACCTGCTTGGTCGTCGCTGCTTAATAATCTATTTAATTAATTTACACACCGGACACACATCTCTTGTATGGAAGCATTCGATTGGATGTGGAGAATGAGAACACTGCAACAATCAATAATGCACCTTTTATTGGTAATAATACTCAGTATGAATTCGGCATGCCAAAGGAATGGTCTTCCTGGGATGAGCACCCCTCTCCTCTCCCCACCGCCGGTGGCCACTCCGGCACCGGCGTCCACCTCCTAAACACCGCCGGCGTCCCCACGACGCCAGTGCGTGCCTCCTTCTCCCTCACCTCCCTTCTCTTCGCCCTCCTCACCTGCTCAGATGTCCAACCCCGCTAAGCCCGGCCCCGCTGCCTCCATTGGCAGGTGCAGCGGAGGCGTTGCGGACTCAGGCCAGCCCCTCAACCGCCTGGGTGGCTCTGGTCTCGCCCGCGCCCCCTCTCGTCGCGTCTCCAGTCCTCGGCTCGTCCTCTCGGCACCACCCGGAGATGATCTCGTTTTCGGACTCCGACGACTCCGATGACGAGTCCTCCATGACGTCGCCTCCTTTCAGTGGGAAGGGCAAGGAGGTGGCCATGCCTCCTCCACCTCGCCATCGTCGCCGCCGCGCCAGGCACGCAGGGGGCTTCATGGCAGATGCGAGACGGACGCGCCATGACCCTCCCATCCAGCGCCAGGTGCAGGCGCCACGGTCTGAGGCATACCCCGTGCGCCAGCCACCACGCTCCGCGGCCAACCCCGTCCTGCACCCGCCTCGTCTTGCCTCTCCTGTCGACGATGAGGGCTTCCGCGTCGTCGAGAGCAGGCGCAGGTGGCGCCGTCGTCCTGCAAGCCGCGCCGCCGGGCCGAGACCTGTTCCCCCATGGTTGGTTGCTTTGTGCTTCAACTGCCTAGCCTCCGACCATGTCGCTGCGCAGTGCTGCGCCCGTCGCGCTGCCTCAACTGTCGTGGCACCGGCCACCGGGCACGGACATGCAAGCGCGGCCGCTCGCCACGGCGCGTCGCGCCTGGCCGCCGCTGTGCACGTCGGCCACCACGGGCTCCGTCGTCCAGCTCCGACACCGGCTCCGGCAACAACTGCTCCACCGGGCGGGCGACTTTGGTCCCAAGAACCTGCGCAAGGCCATCCACTTCGCCACCACCATCTTCTGCGCCCGCGCCGCCGGAGATCCAGGGCCGGACCACATCGTCGGCTGCACCTGCGGCAGGCCACGACACTCGCCAGCAGTCTTCGGGGATCATCGTAATCCCCCGTTCTGCTGAGATCGCAGCCGCAGAGGCAGCGCCGTCGTTGGCGCTCGTCGCCGTCGTTGGCGCTCGTCGCCGTCGTTGGCGGAAATAAGCCGACAGTGTCCCTGGCTGACGTTCGTGCGCAGCTGGAGCACGTCTACCACATCCCCTCCGCCGCGTTCGTCGTAAGTCGCTACGCACCGGAAGATTTCCTGGTTCGCTTCCAGTCCAGGGAGGACTTGGAGGACGTGCTCAACGCGCCAATGCCGATCACCACCAGCTTCAAGATCATCTGGTAGCGCTAGCGCCGGGAGTCCATGGCGACGGCGTTCTCCTTTCGGTACACGATCCTGATTCACTACTAATTTTTGACCGTATTACACCGGCAAATTTTTGATGTAATAAGCTAAAATTGATATGATAGCTTGGTATCGCATCAATTTCGTGTTTGATGTGAGTTGATGTAATAGCTCTAGATGTAATAGCCTTGTCGCATCGATTTGCTGTGACCGATGTGAGAGTTCGCTATTGCATTAGCCATCTATTGTCTCTTGCATCAAAATAGAGAGATGCAAAGAGGTTGTTGCATCAAAATTGTTTTGATGCATGGTCGCTATTGCATCGGCCATGGATATCTCTTGCATCAAGATAAAGAGATGCAAAAAGGTTATTGCATCAAAATCATGTAGATGTAATACATCTGATAAATTTGATGCAATAAGAAATTCTATTGCAACGGCTAACGTTCGATGCAATAGACCATATTGTATTGACATTAGATTCGGTGCAATACAACCTATTGCATCAACATTAGGTTTAATGCAACAAAATCTATTCGTTGCTATTTTATATTGTATCCCGTTTTATCTGCTGAATAATAACGATTCACGGTATATAAATTCACAAAATTACAAATCCAATGGCACAAAAGGGCATTGATATTAATATCTTTGATCATCCACATTCAATAGTGTGTACAATAATAAAATAAAAAAGCTTCATAGTTCAAGAATGTTATAGCTAGGTCATCGGCTGCATACTAGACTTATAGAACTAAACAATTATACTAAGGACTCTTAGCACAATCATGAAAGATTCGTTGTCATTGCAAAATTCTTGATTTAGTTCATTCTTCCAAAGAGTCTAAGCGATCCTCTCAAGTTCCTGCTCAATAGAAACAGTCCAGATGCCATATGCATTAGTAATTAAATTTATTAATGGTTGTAGGGACAAATATGTAGCCTGGATTATCAATTTGTATCCCAAAGCCAGTAAACATATATGAATAGCATACAAGAACATACTAGTAGGAACACCACAACGGAGCAGGTAGACTTTATCTAGGGGTGCCTGTGGGTTCAGAATAGAACAAAGATAGCTATCTTCTTGAAATATTTATTACTTCAGTGCCGAGACTAGTTGCAAGAGAGCATTCTAGTGTGGATTACACTCAATAAGTATTTCAAGGTTGCAATGCATATGACAAAAAAGCATGAATATATATGTAGTTAGGATATTATGGACAGGCAGACCTGGAAGTGATGTTCCAATCAAACAATGTCTTAGAAAAAAAGACTATGTACTGAAAATAATCATGAGATTTTGCTGGACAACAATACCTTTTTCTTTATGTTCATAAGCAGGAAGATCAAGAAATCATGATGACGTTGTCGACGGCACTCGATTCCACGCCCGCCCCATTATTCTCGCTAAGAAACTCCTGCAAGGACATCATCAGGAAATCAATTGCGGATAAGAATTCAGAACTCTTACATTTCAGTATTTGACATATCTAGAGTTAAACTGTAAGCATAGACCTAATATATCTATGCTTAGGGAGGGCAGTGAACAGCCTACATAATTGACAGCACAAGCAGCCCCTCCACGTTGTCCTAAGGTCTGCCACCAGCTCCATCCAACATACCTGCCCCCCATTGATCCATTGATGGAGGTTCAGCAAGCAAATGCAATGGAGGTTAAACAAACAAGAATGGTCTAATTAAGGTGCTGGGATCAGGGAATTAATGAATAAATGGCATATGGGACAATAGATATCTGGGCAAAATTAAAACGAATAATCAATTGCATGGGCACATAAATGGCATATGGAACAACCTGGCCACCGGCACCGAGGGATGATGCGCCCCAAACACCGCTGCCTCGGACGACACCGACAACGACAAAACCACCACAACAACGGGCCTGTTCGCTGGTTGGTGCTGGTGCTGGTTTGGGCTGGCTGGTGCTATTTTTTTGTGAGAGGAAAACATTGTTGGCTGGCTGGTTTGTGCTGGCTGAAACCAACAAGCGAACAGGCTGAACATGTCCCTGTCAAGACACAACTCACAACTCCAACATATGATGGCTCGACGGACCCAAGGCCATGGCTCTCGCGCATACAACAAATCTCCAACTTATACCGCCTGCCGAAGACACAACAAACCTGCTACGCGGCCTATCATCTGACAGGTGAAGCACACCGGTGGTACATGCGCGCGACGAAGGATACACCCATAACCGAGTGGGCGTACTTCACCGAGAGCATCATTTGCAACTTTGGCCCCGACCGCAACATCACCAGTGACCTCGCACCACCGCGTCATATTGGCCCCGTGAACGACTACATCAACAACTTCATCGCCTACGCTCTACACACCAGCATCACCAGCGAGCAACACCAAGTCAGCCTCTTCGTCAACGGCCTTTAGGACGCACTACGAGTGGCGGTTATCCCTCACCATCCGCGCACGATGGAGACGGCCATTGACCTCGCCCATACCATGGAGACCCTGGCGCCCGCCACCTCCGCAAACACAGGACGATCCATCCCCGCTACTGGCAGCTACAACATCGGGTCGCCCAAGGAACCGTCACCCCCCGCGATGGCCCCTACACCGCCTGACACCCCTACTCATCCTCAATCAGCCAGCACCAACACCAGAGCAGCCGCCCACATCGAACCTGACCAGGAGATCCTCGCCCAGCTCGTGTCACCGCAACAGAAGAGCGCGAACTCTAGATTATCTCCACCACCATTGAAGTCTAGGCAGTAGCACCAGCTTGGTCCCTACAAAAAGGCATCCTCCGCTACAATGAATGATACTACATTCTGATAGCTTCACCTCTGTTACAGGACCTACTCAAGTCGTTTGGCGGTTCATCTCCGCATCTTCTAGCCATTGGCCTCCACATGGTGACATCTATACCGACAAAGCAAGAATTCCCCTCGAGTATCCTACTCCTCGAGGCGTGGCCACAACTTATCCTTTCTTCTGCAACAATCATCTTCTTCGATAACAACGGCCAGCAGTTCCTCTCCATCGAGGACACCTACATTGGCAGGCAGCATGCCAATGGCCATCTACAGGTCTCTCCAGCAAACTACAACACCGACGACCTCCTCTTCGGCACGCTATAGCACTTCACCACGACACCTCTGACAATCATCGCTACAGCATTGTGCCGGCGCATAAGGGGACAAGTTGATGCTGGATAGGAGCAGTCGCTGCCACGTCCTCCACAGGTGATGCAGACACTACACTTCCTAAGAACGCTCCCTGGCGCCGCCATCTACGCAACCCGTTGCGTCCATGAACCAACTGATGGCTCGAGGACTTGCAGCTACTACATCTCCGGCCACTTTGGCTCCTGCGGCTACTACTTCCAGTTCTCCGACTACCACATCAACACCAACCAGTTAAATGACACCTTGGGCCACCTCACTGTTCAAATTGTAGAACTACCAGGGGATACCGAACCACCACCAGAGGCTGTCAAAGATTGGACAATGATTCAGCGCAAGGACATGCTGATCGGAGAAGGGGAGAGTGATGTCATACACCCAATGAGGGCTGAAGGCCCATCAAGCCCAGGTGCCGGCAGCGGGGCCGCCCCAAAGGGGTGTCGCCTAGGTTAGCAACAGCACCGCCAAGGGAGTAGGCACACACAGCAAGGGTGGGTTCCCTGCCGCTCCACTATCCATACCTAGAGGATCTTCAATAGGAATAGGATTAGCTAAGATAGGAAGGAGTCCACATCTATAAGGACTTTCCTCATTAGATTACTTAGGAGACAAGTCTATCTATGACTATAAGTAGAGGGGCTATGTAATCATTGCAATCAAGAAAGAATAGCCTAAGGGCTTCCCTATCCCTCTCCCCCTCTCTCTCCAATGTCTCCCTCTCCTCTCTCCCTGCGCCATCTCCTTCTCCTCTCTCCCCAAACGCTAGCCACCACCTCTCCTCCACCATAGCCGCCACCCCTAATCCTAGCCGCCGCACCCCTAGGGCCCCCTCCCAACAGGGCTCTTACAATATCAAATGCATGGCTTAGCAACTCTTATCTTGAGAACCCAAAGAACAGAAAGAGAAGAGGACAAGGCGATACAAACAATGGCTTTGTTCGTGCCTTATTGTGGTAGAACCGTCCAATTTAACATAATCCTAAGTGTACTTATGAGCCATTTGACACTAAGTACACAAGAGACCATGTTAAACCCGGTAGTTTATCGAGCTCACCCGAAGGGAGAACTCGAATAACCACGTTTTCACCAGGATCATAAATAAATGAATAAAGCTTACAATATTTTTAACCATTTCATACATCAAAATGTTACATAAAAGTAGAGTTATTACAAAATAGATTTCATAAAAACAGTGAAATAAAGGTCATTTTATACAAAAGCAGTGGAAATTTAATAGTTTTAAATATTGAAGTAGAAGTAGAGATTTAAGAATAAGATGCTACGATAGCCGCGGTAGAGGAAGCCTCGCTAAGCCCACCAGGAGGTATCCACACATATATAGCAACAGTTAGCTTCAGCATCCACCTGTTACATGTAATAGGGGGAATCAAACCCTGAGTACACAATGTACTCCACAAGACTTACCCGACTAGGTGGGAGTAGTCTCTCGACTGTCAAGGATATGCAGGGGGCTATTTGTCTAGCTATTTAGTGGTTTTGCAGAGAAGCATTACTAATAGTGTATACTTAGTTATATTCAAAGTTTTAGCAGTCACATCAAGTTTGTTACTTAACCATTCTAGGTAAGCGCCAGAACTACTTTCAAGCATGTGGTAAGCAATCAAAGCATATTTCATGATCCAGCAATAACCATATCATCATCTCCATATTCTAGTTGTATAAACTACGATGGCAGTGATATGACAAGTGGTATCCATATCCGAGGAGGGCGGCGATTGCAAACGATGTACATCTAGCTGGGCAATCCCAAACACACGCCCGTACTTCTCGAAGAAGCAAGTACAAGGCTACCATTCACATCATACAAC